CCATCCACCTCTGAGATGGCGTGGACTCCATCACAAGTGTGGTCTCTTAGGTTGAACTGTATGAAATCGCCATCTTCATGGCTCCGACGTGGTCGCCTATCGGTGATTTTGTCCGGTTCCCATGCAACCCCACATTGGAGCTGTGGGATCCGTGGCGAGACCTGCGGGCCCGGCTTTGAGAGGAGCCTGGACACTTTGGCTTTCCTCAGGGAGGGCCGTCAGCGCCAGGACTCGAGTGTAGCGGCCATCCCCCTGCGTTCTGACACGTTAGCTTGCCCCCATCACAGACCACCAGCAAGGACTCAGAACAGACGCCCTCCCTACCCAACTTCCCGGTAGGATTCCATGTGGGATTTTTTTTTTAAATGTATTTTTATTGAGTTCAGAGAGGAAGGGAGAGGGAAGGAGAGATAGAAACATCAATGATGAGAGAGAATCATTGATCGGCTGCCTCCTGCACGCCCCCTACTGGGAATCAAGCCCGCAATCCCAGGCATGTGCCCTGACTAGGAATCGAACAGTGACCTCCTGTTCATAGGTTGACGCTCAACCAGTGAGCCACACCGGCCGGGCTTGTATGCAATTTTAAACAGCTGTTAAGGCCCTTGAACTGGCTGGCTCTCTGAGTCCCTTCTGGTCTGTGATGCTGCCTCATCCTCGCCTCTCCGCCTGCCCCCCGTCCTCCCATCACATGGGTCGGAGCTCAGCGCACGTGAAGGCCCCAGAGTCAATGTTTCGGTCCCTGTGGACCAGGAGGCCACGTCCTCGAGTCAGGGCAGCTGGGTTTCCATCTCACACGTTAAATATAAGAAGCCGGTCTTCGCTCGTGGGCCACCCAAACCCAGGCGATGCTTGCAGACCCCCCAGAGACTGAGACACGGCAGCAGGCTTCAGTTAGCGCATCACGCCTGCTCCGAGGACCACCCCGGGGAGCAGGTCTGGCATTGAACGTCTCCTGGGGGTTCAGCTGTCGGGTGGCAAGATCCTGGGTCCCACTTTCCAGATAGGAAAACTGAGGCTAGCGGGTTGACAGCCGTGCGGGGACCAGGAGAGTGGCCTCCAGAAGCTTATGCTGCACCAAAGGCCTCGCCAGGGGTGGCAGGGGCCTGCTCGCCACACACCGGACAGTCCTTGGGAAAGCTGGACCCCGTGCCCAGTGGCAGTAAAGAGCACGGCCTCCTGTCACTCTTCCTTATGATTCTCAGGTGCCCGCAGGCCCCGGTCCGGTGTTTGCTTTGGCACCCTTTGCTTGGCAAAGCCTGGCTGCCCCCTGCAGCCACATCCCAAAAGTTGCCAACCCACCAGGGTGGGAGGAGCCTGGGCAGCCTCTGGCCTCTGCGCTCCACTGTGGCCGTTGTTCCCACCGCGAGCAAGGCTTGGAGCAGGTCTCCGGGGCCTGGGGGAGGTTGGCTCTGTTTTTTTCTGGTTCTTGCGGATCACCGCTCACTTCCTGGTTCCTGTATGGTTGGTTGGAGGCATAATCTGCCTCCTTTCACGGGTTTATTTATGGGCTTCTTCGCTGTAACCTTTTCCTGAAGAGGCTTTTGTATTCCTCCTGTGATCCGTGCAGGGCCCCGAGGGGACGGAGGGCCCCAGTGGCCCCTGTGACCTGCACCCACGGGCGGGGTGGCTGGGGGAAGCTCTGCCACAAAGGCCGGCGCCTCCATCGCGCTGCCTGGGCACGGAGAGGGAGGGCGCTGCAGGGGACCCAGCCCTGTGCGTGGGAACCGGCTCCAGCTTCCCAGCCCTGACCTCTGACACCAGATTAACCCGCTTCCGGCTCTCAGCCTCCTTCTGCGGAGCCTCCGGGAACAAACTCCTGCCGGCATTCAGCTCCGGGCGCCACGTGTGGTCACGGGTGACTGCACAGCCCTGTCATGTTCCTGGAAATGGGGCTCAGCACCTGGGACGGCAGAGGCACCTTGAAGAAGGCAGCCCCCACCCCCATCCCCATAAAGGAAGCCCAGAGGTTTTTCCCACGAGCGTGGTCCCTGGCGCCTGGGGATCCGCAGGGCGGCCGTCCTCACCATGGAGCTCGGCCAGGCACCTGGGGAGAGTCAAGACGCCGAGACAGGCTGGTCTGGCCCTGGTTTTGCACTTGTTAAGCGGGACCCCACGATTCTGGTGTGGGGGTCACTCTGAGGACCACTGGCCGCCACATGAAGGCGCTGTGGCACCTGCAAGACAGGTTTCGCTCCCAACTTCGGGAAAGCTCTGCTGGCCCACCCGTTCCCCGCTGCCACCAGCCTGGCCGTGGACCCGTTTCCTCGTGCTGAGCTCAGCTGCCTCCCGAGGGAGCCCCCTACCCAGAGACGGCAACCTTCCCCAGGCTACCTGAGCCCCAGCACCTCAGCACCCCAGCTCTGAGGTCGCAAACTCAGGCCCCACAGGTGGGCCGCATGAACAGGAGACGGACACACACAGGATGCTGACACGGCCACGGAGCACATGATGGGCCGAGTTCCTGCTCTCAGGGAAGACCAAAGGGAACCACACCAACTTGTGTCTGGATTCGGTCGGCCCTCCCACGGCCGCAGGACTGCTGACCGGAGGCAGGGCCAGCAGCAGGGGGCGCTGTCACAGAATCCTCACAGGCCGGCGGGGAGTAAGAGAGCTGGCCTCGGGCGCTGCCTCCAAGCCTGTGGTTTCTAGCTTCTGGGCCACACAGACCTGGAATCATGTCCTTGCAGACCACCAACATGCACCCCCAAATCAGGGCCCAGGGGGCGCCCAGGTGCTCACTGCTCTCCTGCCCCAAAGCAGCCTCCGCTCTGAGTAGAGAAACCCCACCCGCCACAGTCTTCCCTGCTCCTCCAGGGCAGCCGGATCCTTCTCACCTGCGCTCAGGTGCACGGGAAATGGTCATTACACCCAGGATGGGACCCGGCCTGAGCATCCAGGACCCCACACTATGTCTGGCTTGTCCCTAAATATAGGGACAGAAGGAAAGAGCTGCCGTAACAGTTCTAGTCACCAACCCTCTGGGCGTGGCCTCGAGTTACCGTGCCGTGGGCTCTTATGGGCAAGAGCTGTACCCAACTTGAATCTTTGTTGTCGTAGAAAAAACGGCGGCGTCCAAGCCCATCAGTGGGTAAACAGGCTCACGGGAGCTTGTTCAGGACGACGGAGGGACCAGCTGGTGGGAAGCGCTCGTTGAGAAGTTAGGATTTGCTTACAAGCAGCTGGTGGACCAGCAGGAGCCCAGGCTCTGGGGTCAGCAGGTGCCTGTCTGGGCCAGCAGCCGGGTCCCTGAGACCCACCGCAGGGGCTAACACTGTGCTTCTGCCTCCCCAGGAATCTGGTACAACATTCTCAGAGGCATCGGGAAACTTGCCGTCATCATCAACGTAAGTGACAGCGGTTGGGCACAGGGAGGCCCTGGCTGAGCTGGCTGGCAGCCCGTCGCCCCTCCCAGGGAGCTGGGCACCCTCTGCTTTCAATCTGGGTGAGGCCGCGGGCTGGCAGCAGCGTCTCCTCTTTAGAAGTGTCCCTTGGTCATGTTGAGACGTTGTGGGGAGCTTTAGGCGGGAATCACAGATCCTCCTGAACCTTTTCCTGCGACCTTGAGCAAAATTCTCCACCATGCCCACCTTGACCCCTAAGTCCACTCTCCCCAGAGTCCTGAGAATAAACAAGAGAGAGACAGAGACAGAGAGACATTGAGAAAGAGAGATTCCTCATAAGCAATTTTTCTGCTCTTTTTTTTTTAAAAGTGCCTGGCCGGTGTGGCTCAGTTGCTTGAGCATCGTCCCGGGCACTGAAAAGTTGCAGGTTCAATTCCCAGTCAGAGCACATGCCTGGGTTGCAGGCTCCATCCCTGGTAGGGGGTGTGCAGGAGGCGGCCGATCGATGTTTCACTCTCACATCGATGTTTCTCTAAACTCTCTCTCCCTCTTCTTCTCTCTCTAAAAATCAATTTTTAAAATCTTAAAAATATATTTAAAAAACACGAGGCATGAGGATTGTACAGTGGGTGTTGTTAATCCTGTGTAACCAGAAGAAAAATGGAGGCACAGAGAGGTTAGGTGACTAGCCCAAGGCCGCACAGCTAGTAAGAGGCTGCCAGCATTCATCCCATGCCTTCCCACCCTGGGGTGATGTGTTCCCAGCTCCTTGGGCTGCCGGAGGGGCTGACAGGAATGCCCCCAACCCTGCATGTGTTCACTGGGCCTTTGATCACACCACTAACTCATGGGCAGAGTGTCCCACGAGCAGGCCCAGGGCCACGGGTCCTGTGCTCACCCCGCTGTTCCGTCCAGGCCTTCGTGATCTCCTTCACGTCCGACTTCATCCCCCGCCTGGTGTACCTGTACATGTACAGCAAGAACGGGACCATGCACGGCTTCGTCAACCACACCCTCTCCTCCTTCAACGTCAGCGACTTCCAGGACGGCACGGCCCCCAACGACCCCCTGGACCTGGGCTACGAGGTGCACATCTGCAGGTACCGCTCCCCGCCCCTCCCAGGGAAGAACCCGCTTTCTGGGAGAACCCGGTTCAAGCCAGGATTCTTTCAGGGGCAAGTCACGGGACAGCTCAGTCGTACTGCGAGAAATAAAAGATCCCTTCGTTCTTTAACTAGGAAGTCCAGAGTAGCTTCAGGCATGGCTGGATCCAGGTGCTACCATTTGCCATCAGGGCCACTCGGGTGCTGCCTCCCACCTTTGTCTCGTCTGTGCGGGCATGGTTTTCTGGCAGCAGGGAGGGCCCCAGCAGCTCCTGCTTTGTACGCTTCGGCCCAGCAGTCCCCGTGGCGAGAATGTCTCCTGCCCAGTAGTCAGCAGGCCCAGGCCCGAGTCTCGTGGACTCTGCAGGCGCTGCTGATGGCGCTGCAGCAGCAGACACTCCCGGCTGGCGAGTGATCAGTGGGCAGCGACATGGTGCCCTGCGTGCTCTGTGTCAGGGAGGGGCCCATATTTCAACATACACATAGATGGGCACAGGCACCCAGGAAAGGCAGAGGATGACCCGCTCCAACCCTCCGCCTGTCCTACCGCAGGCAGGCGCCCCAGGTGCCCCAGCCTCCGGCTCGTCAGGAGCACCAGTACCTTTGTGTTGTCTCAGTGTTCATACCAAGAACACGCTCAGGCTTGACCTATTTGTCTAAACTGAATTTTAGAGGAAGGATGATTCTGGAGAAAGAAGGCAGGGAGGTCTGAGGCCATTTCATTAGAAATCCCCTCGGGAGTGTCAGTGCTGATGTCATAGGGTCAGCCTTGGGTCTTAGGATCAGGAAGCAGGTCACAGGCATTGGTTAAGGAGGCAGCTCCCCAGCCCATGCATTAGTTCAGGTGTCCTGCTCACGTCGGGGGAGGCCAGGGAGCAGGGTGAAGGCCCCGATATTTTAAGTATCTTGTTGCTTTTACCCCCGTGGACGTGGAAGACCGTGGGCCAGACCACTGCTCTCCCCAGAATTCGCTTTCAGCCAGGTCCACCCCATCCTTTGGCCGTGATCATGGGCTGCAGGTGCTGTGAGCTCCACGCCTCCACTGGCCGCACCCGTGACAACCCACTTCCCGGAGGAGCTGGCTGTGGGAGGAGCAGCACAGAGCCCAGCCTGGGGCGGTGGGTGTGAGAGGCGGCAGAGCAGAGCTGAGAGCTGTGATGCTGGTGGCTACCATTTGTTCCTGTACTAAAACAGGCCTTGTCTCATGTAATGCTCATAGTCATCCCCGGAGAGGACATCAATATTGTTGTTCTCCCCAGGGGAGCTAGCAGGTGGCTAAGCAGAGCCACACAAGGGGGAAAAAAAAAGATCATACAGGTCAGTGCAGGTGGTGGCATCTGGACAGATCTGTAAGTGGGCTTTGAGGGATGCATAGGAGTTTGCCAGGTGACCCAAACACGTTTCCTGGTCTCCCGATGCAGCAGGCCTTGAGCACAGAAAGGAGGACACGTGTGTGGCTTCTGATGCTGGGAGAACACGGGCTGCCTGTTCCCATCGGAGTTCAGGTTGTGCAACTTCTGTGTCGCTCAGCAGCTGGCACCAGACTGTGGGTTCCCAGCCCAATCCTATCTCCGGGGTTGGCAGCTTAGCCCTCCCATCCAGCTCACTCCAGAGATAATGCTCTGTGGGTGAGGAGCCCTGTCGGTTGTGTTCCCTGCTGCGTCTGCTCCCTGGACTGGGGCCTGGCACATGGTAGCTGTTCAGTAAAGGCACACGATGTGAATAAGTGAGGGAATGCCAGGCAGAGGCCCAGGGAGGCCAGGCGATTGTGCAGGGACACACAGCAAGGCAGTAACTGGGTTGGGGTCCAGGCCAGGGCTACTGTGCCCACAGAGCCGGTGCCGCCCCTCCTCCTCTCCCCCACTGGACCTCAGCTTTTCAGTGACCAGCATGGAGCACACCTGTGGCCCCCTAGCCTGGAAACTGCAGGCATTTTTTCTGAGGGCATTTCCAATGCAGAGGGGCGTCGGCCCATTAAACCCAAGCACCCCCGGATTTCAGGGAGCAGTTGGATGGGCCTAGGTGGAGACAGAACCCTGGGTCCTCACCCTGGGCATCTCTGGGCCTGCGTGAAAGAGGAAGGGCATGGAGAGACCGGAAGCTCAGGAGCTGCCCATCACTCCCACTTGGCAGAGTGGTGGGCAGAAGGAGGGACAGAGGCAGGCTCGGGGGAGGGGGGTAGGCGCTGGTCTCTCCGAGCAGGAAGTCATTAGGCAATGTCTAAACGTGGTAACTGGGAAGGAGGGGTGGACTGTATTAGTCAGAGATAAGGCGGTCACAGCCAAGAGGCTGCGGCTGGAAGAGAGAGGAGTGCCCCTGGGCACTGGGCCCCCTGGGGCAGTTGCCAGGCAGGCCCCGGCCACGCCACTTGTATGTTTAACCTCCTCCACAGGCCACGCTGAGAAAACATGTCGTTCTTTCCAGTAGTTTCCGCTGCAAAGACTGGGCAGGTGGCTTTCAGACTGGGTTTCAGCAGACCCAGCCTGAGTTTTGTGGACAGCAGGCGTGGGTCGCGGTTAGGGGAGCCAGGCTTAGGGACCCCCACCCACTTCAGCCAGGGAAGCCCCGCTCGCTTGGTTTGACCTCCCGGGGTTTCCGGTGGGACTTCTTTTGGAGATAGGGTTTCACCAGATGGTCCCAGAGCCCGCTTCTGGGGGCCCACAGCTGGGCCTCCAGGGACACTTCACTGGGGTCCTCACTTTCCACAAAGCCCCTCGGGCCCTGCCAGCCCACGGTGGTCCCTGGCCATCCCTCCAACATGGAGAGACTTCCTGTCACCTGGGCGGCGGGGCTGCCCCTGGCGAGGCTCTGGCCTCGGGGCCACGTGGTGCTGGGCAGAACCCCAGGGTCCTCTCGCAGCCCCCGATTCCCGCCGGCGTTTGCAGGTACAAAGACTACCGGGAGCCCCCGTGGTCGGAACACAAGTACGACATCTCCAAGGACTTCTGGGCCGTCCTGGCGGCACGGCTGGCCTTCGTCATCGTCTTCCAGGTACGCCGGGCCCCGCGTCCAGGAGTTTGAGAGTCTGTGTCAGGCAGGGTCCGGGCGGCAGGGTTCCGAGCCCCGGAACTGCGGGCGTGCCCACGGAGGCATCAAAGTTCCCTCCTTTTGTGGGCTGTTTTCATGTTATCAATTGCTTTAAAGCCTTGACACTTGTCTTATTTGGTGATGCGTGACCCAGCGGATCATCTCTGAAGCCTCCCAGCCAAGGAATTCCAAATCCTCCAGAGGCCTTTCCTATTTACGGAGCTCAGATTCTCAAGCAGGCCGGCTGCCCTGGCCGGTGGCTCAGTCCGTTAGAGAGTCACCCACTACCCCCAGGTTGTGGGTTCGATCCCCAGGTCAGGGCACATACAGGAATTCAACCAATGAGTGATGATCATGCAAGTGGAATAACAAACTGGTGTGTTTTTTTCTCCCTCTCGCTCCCTCTCTCTCTCTAAAAATCAATAACGGTAAAATTTTCAAAAGAAGGCTGGCAAACATGTCGGGAGGAGCTGCTGGCAGGTCTCCTGCCTCAGTTATACCTTCCAGGAAACCGAGGCCCAGGAGCTCCAAGGGGGTGCCCAAGGCCACGGCAGGGGCGTGACAGGGGGTGGCGCTGCCAGGTGGGGCGAGGTGGGGAACATTTTCCGGGGTCCTTCCCACCCCTCACGCGCTGACTGTCCTTCCAGAACCTGGTCATGTTCATGAGCGACTTCGTGGACTGGGTGATCCCGGACATCCCCAAGGACATCAGCCAGCAGATCCACAAGGAGAAGGTGCTGATGGTCGAGCTGTTCATGCGGGAGGAGCAGGGCAAGCAGCAGCTGCTGGACACGTGGATGGAGCGGGGCCCGAAGAAGGGCGAGTCCTGCGGCAACCACAGCCCCCAGGCTGGCCCGGACGGCCCCGAAAACCACGGGGGCGCCCTGTAGCGGCCCCGGCGCCCGGCCGACGGGCACCTCTCCCGGGCAGGCGGCCCACCCCCACCAGGTCGGGTGGCTCCTGTGTTTGCAGCAAACCTTGAAGACCACCTTCTGATAGGACAACATTTTTTAAAATCTTTTTTCTGGGTTTCTGTTTTTTTTCCCTTGTTTTTGCACAAACCCATGATGCAGGGAATTTTTTATCTTTTCTCTTGGAGTTAATCAGAATGGTTGCTGGGATAGGGTGGTGCAGGCGGCAGAGGCGGCCTTTGCAGGGCAATCCTGGCGTCTCCCCTCCACCCCCCCCCCGCCCCCGACGGCGGCCGTGAGCAGAGGCGCCGGGGAGCACCTTCTGTAATCCCCCTGGCACCCTGACAGGTGGGAACAGCACCCGAGGCCCTGGGCACATCTGGTGCACCTGGAGGGGGAACGGAGAGGAATGAGCCAATTGAGACCAGTTACCCGAGACCTCACCTTGCCTCCTAGTCAGGAGAGCGGAGCCGATTTCCATCACCTTTTCTGTAGGCTC